TCTCGTTAGTCTCTCCTCATCCCAACATGAGTCAAACTGACATTGAGGAACAAATCAGATGGGATTTGATCTCCCCATTGACCCATATTTCTTCACCTCTTCAAGCTCTTGAGTCGATAACGATATCATAGCTTTTCCATTGTCTCTCAGCGGGATTCTTGACTGGTTTCTCAGTATTCTTCAAACTGTCATTTTCTGCTTGAACATCTTCTTTCGCTTCTGCGCTTGAACTTCTTCTCAGATGTAGCTTGTCTAAAAGTTTTGACATTCCACATGAATCTGTTTTCTCGGTGGAAGAATCTTTGTCTGTTGAAGTGTTCGAATGATGATCATGATGATACTCCCCATCAAGCTCCCCAAACCAACACATCAGAAACAAAAGCAGAAGCTGGGGGGGAGGTGGGGAACACTATCCCTCTGGGGGACAGGAGGAAGATCAATGCAATTGGAGGGGAGGAAGCGAGCATTGAAGAGCAGGGGATGGACGAGGAGGAAAAAGATGGGGACCCGTCGCGATAGGCGAGACTCGGCGGGTCCGCACTCATATTCTCTCAGCCACTGTTCCTATCCCCAGAAAAAGGAAAGAGCTGATGAGACGAGGTAAATGTGCATATAAACCAATAAACACCACTCCAAAATGTATAAACGATTGTCATGCCCTAATCCCTTCCAGCTGTAAAAATCAACGCAAGTCTAATGTGTATATCGAAGGCATCGAACTAACAGCTTTGTGGGACACTGGAGCAACCTGTTCATATATCAGTCCCAAAGCAGCTAAGAGGATTAGGAAGGAGAAGCGAAAATACCCCGTGAGTGTACCAGTTCACATGTTTGACGGCTCGGTTAGTGTGGCTGGACCCATTGGGGAGTTTGTCGAAGTGAGTCTGGGTGTCGAGAAGTTAGGCGAAGTTCGCCCAATAAAGATGGATGTTACCACCCTTTGTGACGCAGACGTCGTGATAGGGTGGGAATGGATGAGGGAAGAGAGAGTAATTTTGAATGGGGGAGTGAACACTATATCCTTCCCTATTCCCCAGACGAACGAGGGGGAAAACATGATGTCCTTTCCCCCACCCCAGCCGAATGAAGGGGAAGAGTTGGCCTCTCCCCTTCCACAGACGAGAGATGCCGCGAGCCTGGCAGCCATTGGGCTCAGGACTCGAACCGATGAGACAGACCTCCGCGGCGAAGATGAGCTCGAAGAGCTGAGCCCGGAGGAACAAGAGGAGTTGTTCCAGGTAGTCCCTGAACAATACCACCAGTTCATTAATGTTTTCAACCCGAGGAAAGGAGGAGAGACTCTCCCCCCTTTGAGGTCCTACGATCTGAAGTTTGAGCTTAAGGAGGGGGCGAACCTGAAGGTTGCCTCCCTCTATGCTCAAGGCGAAGATCAGAGACGCGCGCTGAGAGACATACTAGATCGCGAAACCGCCGCCGGCCGAATTCGAGCAAGTAATTCGCCATACGGCTCACCGATGTTTATGATACCGAAGAAAGCCGAAGGCCAATGGCGAATGGTCATTGACTATCGAAAGCTAAACGAGGCGACTATACCAGATGCATGCCCTCTACCATTATTAGGACAGATCACCAAAGAACTTGGAAAAGCAAGGTACTTCAGCAAGCTGGACCTGATTGGAGCGTACCAGTTATTGAGAGTGACGGAAGGACATGAACACCTGACTGCGTTTAGGACACAGTATGGTATGTTCGAGTTTCTTGTTGTTCGTGACGGACTACGAAACGCCCCTGCTGTTTTCCAACACTTCCTGAACGAGGTGTTTAGAGAACTGCTAGGGAATGGAGTCGTGGTCTACATTGACGATATTCTCATCTATGGGAATACATTGGAGGAATTACGAGGAACTACGATGAAGGTCTTCGAGGTACTGCGAAAGGCAAGCCTGTATGTAAAAGCTAGTAAGTGCGAGTTTGAGAGAGATTCAGTGGTGTTCCTGGGGTTTGTGGTATCTTCTCGAGGTGTATCGGTGAACCCAGAATACATTCACGCCATCACATCCTTTCCACGTCCGAAGAACCTACGAGAGTCTAGAGGATTTATTGGAGTTGTTGGCTATTACAGACGTTTTGTTCCCAACTTCTCGAAGGTTGCTATGCCAATCACCTACCTAACAAAGAAGGATGTACCATTTGTGTGGGGAGCAGAGCCGGAGTTGGCTTTTAAGGAGTTGAAGGCTAGGATGTGTACTGCACCGGTGTTAGCCCATTTTGACCCTATGTTGAAGACTATACTACAGACAGATGCGTCGTTCTTCGGCTGGGGTTTCATAATTTTGCAGATTAATGCAGCTGGTCAGGAACACCCAGTCGCCATCGAGTCGGGCGCGTTCAACACGGCCCAATTAAATTATACGGTAGGAGAAAAGGAGTTCCTCGCTGTGGTTGAGGGCTTCCGAAGAAGGAGACACTTACTGCTACAGGTAGAGACCACAGTCCTTACCGATCATCTAAATCTCACCTATTGGATGGAACCAAAGCAGCTCAGTCCCCGCCAAGGTAGGTGGGTAGAAGAATTAGCTAACTTCAGATTTAAGATGGTGTATTGGCCAGGGACACAAGCGAGCCTTCCAGATGGATTATCTAGACGGGCGGATTATCACTCCGGGAAAGGAAGTACTATGGTACAAGAAAGCAACCTTATTCAAGGTCTGCCGAAGTTCGACAAAGTTGACGCCACCACGTCGGAGTTACACCACCTCCTTCGAGCATTACAGGGAACGAGAGAAGTAAAGGAAAATGGCCTTGTCAACCCTATAGATCTGATAGTTGGAATCCAGGAGGATGAAGAGGTAGAGGAAGTCAGGGAGGAGCTGCTAGGAGTTATTTGCGTTAAGTGTTCCCATCCGGCATGGGTGTTCCCATCCGACATGTCACGATGACGTACAGGAACCAGAGTCAATCACCGAACTACGCCGTAGTTTGCGATCCCCCTTAATACTTTGTGGTGGTTGGACCTCAAGGGGTTTCCTCACGTTCGACAATCACACTTATGTGCCAAACTACGCCGATGCTCGCCTAAAGATTATGAAGATGCGACACGACTCGCCTTTAGCTGGTCACCCAGGGTCGGCGAAGACCCTCGAACTAGTCCTGAGGGATTATGTTTGGGTTGGAGTAAGGAAAGATGTCGAGGATTATATTGCCGGCTGCGCAGTATGTCAGAGAGCGAAGACTAACAGGCAGAAACCTCATGGAGAGCTTAAACCACTGCAAGTGGCTACGAAGCCTTGGTCAAGTATCTCGATGGATTTTATCAAAGAACTCCCAAACTGTCACGACCGTCGAACAACTTCCTTCTAACAGACCGACGGTCGACGAACCTCGGCTAACTTGACGCTTCAAAGTTGATGTCTCACCCAACTGGGAGGGCGCAGACGTCGAAAGGAGTGTAACTACGGCGTACTTTGGCGTAGTTACTCTAACTGGGGGTTTTCTCTGATGGCGATGTATCATAATTTGTATGTAGCTATCTCTATCAATCTTTCACTACTGACAACAATCAAGGATCGCTGAAGAACTTCAGCGATCTTCTCAGCTAATATTATCTACTCCTCCTAGATGTTCATCCAACCCTCTCGCGCTTAGACGTACTTCAACACACTTCATCCAACTTTCCCGAGTCCCCGGCCGTACTTCTCCTCCCTTCGACTAACTCCACCTAACATCGCCGCACTTCTGCTCCCATTGTCCCTACTCAGCCTAACTCCATCTAACTTCGCCGTACTTCGGCTCCCTTTGTCCCTAGTCCCCCTAAGTCCGCCTAGCTTTGCCGCACTTCGCCGTTGTTATGCTCCAGACCCCGGTATACCTTATTCTCCCGCTGTACTTCGCCCTAGTTGGTCTCAGATGTCCTGAGTTACGTGTAGAGTGAAGAGGTTAAGACATGATAGGGGTTTTGATGGTCAAAGGAGGGTCGTTGCTGGTGGGATAATTGAGGTGTCACGGCGTAGTTCGTGACATGATTACTGTCACGAACCATATCGTAACACCCCCTGACAACCACCATCATTGACCCTCCTTTCACCATCACCGAACCCCTATCCGCCATCTGCCACCACAACCCAAAACTGTCACGAACCATATCCTAACATCCCCTGACAATCTGTCACGAACTACGTCGTAACATCCCTGACAACCACCATCACCGACCCTCCTTTCACCATCACCAACCTCCACTCGAACCACTGAGACCAACTACGGCGAAGTTACGAGAACCAAGGGGGGATTTGTCACGATAACCCCGCCTAGCGGAGAACTACGGCGAAGTTAGGGGAAGGGAACCGAGGGAGAGCAGAACAGGGGAAGTAGGCGAAGTTAGTCAAAGTGAGCGGAGTAGGATATCGGGGATATGGCGAGGTACGGCGAAGTTGAACGAAGAGGACTGAGCGTGAGGCAGTGCAGGAGTTGAGGGACGTTCTATGAGAAGAGAGGAGTAGTATAGATAGTTTACAGATCGCTGAACTTCTTCAGCGATCCTTGATTGTTGTCAGTAGCGAGAGATATATTCAGTAGCTACAACCTTCGAGTTAAGGAGAGCTACCACCGAGCAGTTCAACGTACTACGGCGAAGTTAGCCGCAGTCCATCGACGATCATCTTATCATTTCACCACTCGACGTATCACTACGGCGAAGTCAGCCGTAGTTCCTCGACGAGTACCCTGTCTTAGTGAGACAACGACGCCCCACTACGACGTAGTTAGCCGAGGTTTGTCGACCGTCGGTCAGTAGAGAAGGAGAAACGACGATTGTGACAGTATAATGTCACAAAGTGTGTGACAAGTCAAGCGAAAGTCGGGGAAGGGTATTTAACCAGCGATCGGCGGTAGAGTTAACCGCCGATTAATAGGCCTTTTCGTCGCAGTGGTTTAGATCACTGTTCCGTTGGGCACTGTTATATTGTGCATATGCTGGTCAGTATGTCTCTTGACAGATTAATCGGCGGTTGCGGGTAGGATCCTGGGTTCGACTCCCCGGACGGCGCCGGGGGTAACCCAGGCCCTACTTGGAAAACCTCCCTCTCGGAGTAAGTTTTCGGTCTATCGTACCCTTCCCAAGTGTGGGGGCCCAAGCGGGGTCCCCTTGTCGGGGCCCCGAAGCGGGGGCCCAAGAGAGTGCATAATGTCACAAAGTGTGTGACAAGTCGAGCGAAAGTCGGGGAAGGGTATTTAACCAGCGATCGGCGGTAGAGTTGACCGCCGATTAATAGGCCTTTTCGTCGCAGTGGTTTAGATCACTGTTCCGTTGGGCACTGTTATATCGTGCATATGCTGGTCAGTATGTCTCGTGACACAATCACCACCATCGACCCTCCTTTCACCATCACCGAACCCCTATCCGCCATCAACCACCATAACCCGAACCACTGAGACCAACTACGGCGAAGTTACGGGAAGCTAGGGATTATTAGTCACCACAATCCCGCCTGGCGGAGAACTACAGCGAAGTTAGGAGAAGGATACCGAGAGATACAGAGCAGAGTGGAGGAAGTAGGACAAAGTGAGGTGAAGTGAGCGGAGTAGGACATCGGGGATATGGCGAGGTACAGCGAAGTTGAGCGAGGAGGATTGAGCGTGAGGCTGTGCAGGAGTTGAAAGATGTTCTATGAGAAGAGAGGAGAAGTATAGATAGTTTACAGATTGCTGAACTTCTTCAGCGATCCTTGATTGTTGTCAGTAGTGAGAGATATATTCAGTAGCTACAACCTTCGAGTTAGGGAAAGCGACCACTCAGCAGTTTGACGCACCACGGCAAAGTTAGCCGCAGTTCATTGACGACCGCCTTATTGTTTACCACTCGACACATCACTACGGTGTAGTTAGCCGTAGTTCCCTGACGAGTACCCTGTCTCACTGAGACATCGACACCCCAAGAGGACGTAGTTAGCCGAGGTTTGTCTACCGTCGGTCAGTAGAGAAGAAGAACCATCGTTTGTGACAAAATCCCGCTCTTCTCTATCCTAATCCGTTGACTTCAATGGATCTGCATCGAGTCGTTATTACCCCGTAACAACAGGTCTTAACCGTACCCCAGAGTAATCCAGCCAAGAGACTCTTGAGTGATTGGTCTTCATACTACCTGTGGCGGACGGCGTCGCACGGTAGACACTACTTTGCACACTCCTTCTGCAGGTATCAATTGAGTGGAAATTTGTTTCGTGCATGCATGATCTTCGTCTGCATGACATTGTATCTCGTATACTATGAACAGGAGTTCATATCCTCATCTTGCTTGAGTCATACTGAGCCACTGTCACACTGAATGCTCCGGAACAGGCAAGTGCGGCACCTATCCCATCCCTACATCCACCATATTGATGGACCGCTCCAGAACTACTCCTGAGGCTATCAGCCATGGCTAGTGCTTTGAAATGACTTACATATCTTGATGGACCGGCCGATGTCTTTGCTTCAAATGCAGCCAGTGTTTGTAGCGCTTTTTCGGCCTGCCTGAGCTCTCGGTCTTGTCTCTTTTGCTCCTTTTCCTCCTCCTGTTTCCTTTTCTTCTCGGCTCGAGCCTCAGCTACCTCTGCTCTTCGCACCTTGGTTGCCTCCTCCTGCTCCCTCTTCTTCTCCGCACGTTCCTCTGCGGCAACAACCTTCAACCTCTGTGCTTCCTCCGCTTCCGCTTCCTCCCGCTCAAATGCTTCCCTCGCCTCTTGGAACTGCCGTGGCCCTAAGAATGCTACCCCACCATCCGTTTGATCAGCTACATACTTCCGGGTTGTCCTCTTTCTCTTTGTATGTGATATTGCCTGCTCCAAATTATCTAGCTTCGATTTCATGAGGCGATGATCGGCTGATAGAGAGCGGAATGCCTTGTACAACTTGCCGCTTGTGTAGTCGGGTGTGACTTCACCTTTACGCATTCGATGCATGAGCTTGACTGAACCAGAGGCATTGAGGGGGGAGCTGGGTGGATTGAACAAGGAGTGAAGTGGAGTAGTTTGCTCTTTTGGGGGAGGGGTTACCGGTCGGGTGAAGACGCCATCCATTACCACACTACGGTTCTGTGGATGGATGCCTGCCTTGGCGAAAGCGTTTCGTATAGTCGATTCTGAGAGAGCGTTGGCCCATGCTTGCTTGAAAATTAGGTAGAAGAGTGACTTGCTCATTCCTACTCTACCTTCCCAGGCGACAGACAATTGGGTAGAGACGGTTGTGTAGTGAGAGGAAAGTGGTGAGAAGACGCCAACATCCAACGGCTGAAGACGGTGGGTGCTGTGTGGAGGAAGAATGCAGACTGCGATGCGAAGCGAATCACAAAGCTGCAGGAATGTGTAGTTGACATGACTCGAGTGTCCATCAACAATAAGAAGACGACGCCGTAGTTGTTTTGAAGTAGTACTTTTATCGAAAACCTCCGTGAGCCATTGGAGTCCAAGATTATCGTCTGTCCACCCTTTTTCTGATGCACCCATGAAGATCTCATCGCTTGGGAGAACCTCTGATGTCCAGCTCTCGCATACCTGACCGTAAACCCCTTTATAGATGAGAGCAGGAGGAAGGGCAGTGCCATCGGCACAGATGGTAGCGATGAGGGTTACGAATTCTCGGGATCCGTCTATGCGCGCTTTTGCTGGGTCTGACTTGAGTGTCTCTTCAAGGGGGAGTATCCAAGATTCCTTGTTTGTCTGACCGATGATGAACCCCTTTTCATCCATGTTGAATATTGCCTCAGGTCCGATATTTAGTTCATCACAGCGTGTCTCCAACTACACGGCCATGAGCGATAATTCTTCAGAGGTAGGTGAACTCACAATATCAAAGTACTCCTCAAAGATAGGTTTATACTCGGCCGCATGTCGTGATTTCTCCATTCCATGAACCCTCATGCACTTGATTTTGTCCTTGTGGCGATCTATGAACCGGGTTGCCCACTTGCTAGACGGAAGGGTACCACAGATCTCGTATGCCATGTTCCGCAGGATGGCAGGAGTGGGATAGAGTCGACGCTTCCCCAACTCAAGCACACGCTTTACTAAGACAGCTTCTTCATGTTCATCAAGATGAGCTTGGTTGGATCGACCATCAGGTGGAATGTCATGAAGAGATTTGTAGTAATGGCGACTGAGGGTGGTGCGTACAACATTGTGTTCTTTGGCTATAGCGGAGAAGTTGGGTACTGTAGGTGCTGCAACTCTATGACAATCAAGTAGAGCAGCGGTCAGGGATTGTGATGGCATGGTTTATGCACTTGATAGACCAGGATTTGACAAGATATAGGAAGAAGCAACACGTATGAAGAGGAGAACATGTATGCATTTTGGGTGTGCAAAGTAGTGTCTACCGTGTGACGCCGTCCGCCACAGGTAAGGTCGCTCACCCGGAACTTGGTCACACCCGGTCATTGATCATTTCTTCCGCAGATCGTATACACATCACAAGAACGCATGTCATGCATTCAATATGCTACCTACACACGTAAAATGATGCGACGGACAGTACTTGGCCCCTGGCTACCCTCCAATACCTCTAACATGCCTCCTGCTTGTTCTATCACCGATGTAATCGTTTCCGGCGCATCCCCTTCCGTGCGATCCTCCCTTCCTTCCGGTCCCCCTTTGTTCTTCTGTTTCCCCTTTTTCCTCTGTTCTGCTGCCACCTCAATCTCCCGGAGCCTCTCAAGTACCGTCCCACCTGTGAAATTATGTGTCCCAAGGTTCCCTACAGTAGCACCTGATTTCTGACGCTTTGGAGGCTTGAGGAGAGCATGCAGCTCCTTGTTCTCCATTTCTACTATTGTACGTTCCGACCGTTCACTTTCAAGTTCGGTAGTTACATCTATGAGTCGTTTCTTTATTGGTGTGGCATTGATAGCTGGTGTATTCCGTAGGAGCTCATCATTCTCGGAGGTGATTGATGCAGAGGATTGGGAGTGAAGAAGCGGACGGGTGGGTGTCTCGGTGGGAGTAGAGAGTAAGCGATACACAACATTGGGGTTGAAAGGGTGTAAACCGGACTTCCTCCAACCAGTAGCAATATGCTCCTTCGTCATCGCTAGCTCTCTGGCTGTTACTAGGTCCGCTGCCCACTTCTCCTTATCGATTGATGTTGCATTGTATCGAGTTGCAATGTCCGAGAACTTCATCAAGTGACGTTTGAGAGGACTAAAAACACCAGTATCGAGTGGTTGTGTCCAATGGGAGGAGTGTGGAGGAAGGACCATGACATCAATTGAATGTTCGATACAAAAGCTGATGAAGTCGGCCTTGACATGACTTCCGTGACCATCTAAGATAAGCAGTCGACGTTGAGAGGTATCGGCTGGAGCTGTCATCGGTTCAAATTGTGATTTCAGCCAGTAACAGGCAAGTGCATTACTTGACCACCCTTTCAAGCTTGTTGTCCATTGCCAACCCTCAATATCTCGATCTTGTGGACGCATTCGGAGGTTGAATTCCGCTTTTCCTTTGAAGATAATGATGGGGGGAAGAGCTCGACCTACAGCTGATACACACTCGATTGCGGTAACCCATTCCTGCCGACCCTTCTGCGCTTTCACCACCTTTCCCTTCACACTTTTGTCTCCTTCTGCTACTGTCATTACTTGAGAAGACAAGGTAGTACCAACGTTATATCCTGTCTCGTCCATGTTATAGATGTTTTCTGGCAAGTAGTGATATTGATTGCGGAGTGCTGACATCTCGGTAAACCATCTCTTGATGAGTGTCATCTCACATCCATCGATTCGAGCTATATCCAGGGCGCGAGACCATGTGGTTTTGACTTCAGGATGTCGGTTCTTGAACTTTTGAAGCCAATTGACTCCAAGAGGTATGATGATGTTATTGGGATTGGGATTGTGAGAGAGCATGAGTCGGTTTTGACGAAGATTCTTTGCGATCTCGGTAATGTGAGCAGGGGATGGGGGGTGACCGCTCTGAGAAGATCTACGGATATAATTGACGATGCAGTCTTCTTCTTCAGGTGTCAGAGCTTGAAGACGGCGATGTGATTCCTCACGGGAGGAAGGAGAGTGGGACAATCGGTAAGACAGGGTAGATTGGCTTACACCAAAATACCGTGCGATTTCTCGTTGACTTTGGCGTTTGGAAGGGGGTAGATGTTTCCGGGATTTATACTTCTCAATAGCGGCCTCTAGTGGATCTGCTGTGGTCTGCATAATGATGAACAGACAAGAGGCAAAGAGAGATAAACAACACGTTCGATATATCACATGTAGGACGCGACGCGTGATCAATGACCGGGTGTGACCAAGTTCCGGGTGAGCGACCTTACCCTTTACTCAAAATTTTCCAATGCGATTGAAGCTTCAGAATCTCGACGGCTCTACTATACAAGTTGAGAAGGAGTAGACTAAACCACTCTCCCTTCTTCTGACTTTTCCTTTCTTCTGACTTTGGCTGAGATGGAGACCCGAGCGGAGATCGAATCTTCCGCAGGTTCAACTTTTCCTCTTTCTCATTCATACGTTTTACTCCTCCTGATCCTGTCTCCGAGTTAATCACTCTGATTTTCACTCAACTTCATCTCCACGAACTTTACTGTTGACAGTATCTCTACACTGAGCAACTATGAACAGTGAGCCTTGGCAAACATTCACAGCCACATACAATAGCTTTCGAGTAGGACAAGATGACAGATTGTCATCTGACTCACACACTTCCTTCCGGACGGGAGTTGATCAGTCCAAATTTCTTGGTGAACTCACTCCACATGCTTTGGGCATTATTGACTCTGAAGTTCCCAACAGACCAGATGTCAATGAGGACGAAGCGAACCAACCCAGCGCTCATGATGGATACGAGACCGTTGATCCAATGGACCTCCACCCAGAGTCTGTCTATGTTGACGAGTATAGACCACAAGAGTTGATAACTCGGTCTTTCTCTCGTCGACATTTACACCCGGCTGATAGCTCTCATGTTGAGTTACCGCTATACAAGCTTGACCCCAAAGCTCTACCTGTCAGCCAAATCAGCCAGATCTCGGTCCTCAAAAACCAAGCCACATTGGACTCAGATATCTCAGCATTCATTGTCCGGGAAGATTGTCTTGAATCTCATCGTGGCGCCTGGTATCGCTATCTTGCTTCACTGCACGGCCTCACCAATGAATGGTTCAAGGACCATGCTGTGGGCCCCAAAAAGGATGGGACAACCAAGACAAATATCAGGTATCATGCACTTCTAGACATAGGGTCTTTATATCAGGTCTGTTTTTATACAGCCATTCAACAGGCATGTAACTCATTGGATACCAAGAATGCTATCCTGACCAATCCAAAGGAGCACTTCTTCAACTATGACGGCAGTGCTTTCAGATGGGGCATTGAAGGACTTGACGAAGACTCAGCCCGAAGAGCGCTGGAAGCCGCTTGGCTTGATGACAGCAAGTGGACTAAAGGCCTGTGGAACCGACCAGTCTCGGGACAACTTTCTGGCCACGACACTGATACAAGTATGATTCTTGACACGGAATGAGTGGTGGAAGGAAGAGAGTGTAGGTGATGATGCATGAATTTACCATGTCATCTTTTTACTGTGACTCACAAGCCCCTTTTAGTGCTGCTCCTGAATGCTTACATACATATTCATGTCATCATGCCAAATACTTGTAAGTTGCCATATCCCCTGTCCTCTCCAAATATTCACGCTGCACGTCAACTCGCCGGATCTGTGACAGATTATGACTCACGTCGATAAGCCCTTCTATCCGTTTCTTCACCAAGTTGAGAGGTGGATTGAAACGTGAACTGAGCTGGTGCGCGACTTCAGAAACGAGGTCGTTATGTGACATCATCTTTCTATTCTTCATGATTCTCACGATACATGCCTATTGATCAGCTATGGCTTCTCCTTCCAACTCGGACAGGAAATAGTCCGAATAAGGGAACGTAGTTGTTGTGGGTGGAGAGAAAACTTACTTCAATCTGATGTTTCCTCTCCTCTGCCACCTGTTCTTGAGTCTCTTCTCTCTCTTTGTTGCTCTCTACCTTATTCGCGACTTGCATAATTTTGATCCTTGCAAGATTACTGGTGAAACCTTCGTTGAAGCTGAAAACATCGGTAGAATCGACTTCTCTCCCTTTAGGTGTTTTCGTCAATACTCGGAATTTGCCGCACGCCAAAGATTGCAGTGTCCTACGAAGGTCGGCATCTGGTAGATTCGTAGACGATTGTATTTCCTGAATCGTCAACATAACATCTGATGTGTATATCGAACCACAAGAAGGGAGTTGCACGGAAGAGACTTACGGTGTATGCCAACGACTCATCTGTTGGGACATTCTCAAATAACAGCAACACCACCAACGCCTGAGTGGACACGTTCAAATCATGGCTTCTGGCTTTGAACCGAACCCTGACATCTGCCGTTCCTAAACCACCTTGCCATACTAATCTACGGCCGGAATGTCTTCCAGCGTAGTATTTCTCGAAAGTATCTTGACCGGAAGAGAGTAAAGGACCAAAGGTGCACGTTGAGGCAGAGACTATGGTGGGAGGCCAATAGGATGCAGTGAGGACATTCACGGACAGGGAAAACGGGATCTAGCTAGGTCAGTTTTGGCTACCAGGAAAGAAGTAGTGACGATGATTGTATTCATCGGAGCATGCCGGAGCAACCCAATGGGCATGGTACGAAGTAAGAGATAAGCTTACTTGATGTCGTTGTGTGAACTGTTGGAAAAGATGCGCAGAGTCTGTTGACAGTCGCATGTCGGTAAACATGCCTTCCAGCTTCTGGGTGAATTGAAAGCCCCTGGAATATCAGTCATCTAGAATGACGAATATTTAAACTCACATTTCCACTTTCAGTTTGGCGACCATGCCCTTTTCTGCATCGTCCGAAACACTCCGACCGTATAACAGTCTTCTGGCCAGGTGAATCTTGTAATATCTTTCGAACTTGTCTTTGTCCTGGAGGAATCTAAAGAGGGTTGTTGTCTTATCCAGAGCCGCTTCGATCTCATCTTCGGATTTCTACGGTCATCAGCCGTGATCAACTTCATCATCCCTCATTCAGAATTCGTGCGACATGAGATATAGTGAAACATGTCTGACGTGATGAACATCAAAGCTCACCGTTTTGGTGCCCTTTTTGAGATGTTCGTCGATGTAAAGTGACAGATACTCTGGACTCCTTGGGTTGGCGTTGATAAAACTTTGAAAAGCTTCATTGATCGACATCTGGAGACTTTTGTCTCCTCCAAATGCCTCGTCGAGTAAACGATCAAACCTGTCCTTGAGATCCACACTATCTTGCACCCATTTCAAAGCCGCCAACAGAGCGTTGCCTCCGGACACCACTTGAGACTTAGCTTTCCCCTTGCCTTTGACGTCATCTGGATCAACGTCCATAGTCTGCTCCTCGGCGGGGCCTGCGGACCCACTCTCTGACAACGCAGAGTTCTCGTTGATGGTCCTTCCTCTATCCTCGGCATCGGCTCTGAGAGCCAGCCGAAGAGCGATTCGTCCGGCATCCTTGGGTACGTGAAGGAAGAGAGTGTACAGACGACGAAGATCTGAGACTCGATCGTGTTCGATCATTGAAACGAGACCGGAGCCCGGCATGCTGAGAATGGTGGATAGGTGAGGAGTGAGGAGGTGTTCTACCAAGAGAGAATGTAATTGAGAATGTGTAAGGCTGGAAAGGTAATGAGCCGTTCGGTCGGTCTCTTCTGACAATCTTCTCTCGACCTGATATTTGAGCCATCAACATGAGACAGTGCAAAATATTTTACATACGTTTTGGAGGTAACGGGAAGCATCGCCTCTTTCAATGATCTCCAGAGCTTCAGCACGGTAATAATCCGCGCTGTTGCGTAGGAATTCAGGTTCAAAATCGGTTGAATAGACACTCTTGCCTCCTTCCCTCTCCGATAAAGTCAAGCGAAGTAGGATGTCGATACAGTCCCGGACGGTGGATCGGGTGATAATCTCGCCATCTCGCTCCAGCTGTATCTGGGATAAGAGAGTGGCGATCAGATGAGTGTGAATCGAATGTCTTAAGGATCGGACGATATGTTGAAGGAATAAGGTCAGACCGACATCGTATATCTGAGGAACACCAGCCGCTGGGGTATATACCTTGTCCTGTGAATCAGCTTGTAAAGATACACCCCGTTGTGACACTAGTCTCGCTCGACACACCATATATTTCAAAACATCTTTAAGTTTCCGCATACTCCCTGTATGATCTTCCCAAACAGTCTTCACGGCTTTCAAGAACCTATCCCCTTCCATGGCACTTTCAACAGCTTCGGCCCCACTACGCCTTTTCCCAGTACCCGAAGTTCCAGAGCTTCTGGGAAAAGTAGGAACTATTTTGTCCTCTGCTAGCTTTTCCAAGTGCTCCGAGATGAGTCCTTTGACTCCGGCGTACAGTTGGTCTCCATCTGTCTATAAGCTCCACCCTGAAACTGCCGGACAGGAAGCTGACTTTTGAAGAGGACCATATTGTAGGCATAGCGGTAATGTTCCTCAAAGCTGAGCTTGGAGGCATTGTGATTTTGAATCTCTCTGATAGCGTTTGCAAGCTTGATCCAGGTCTCCTTGATGGAAGTCTGAGGGTCTGGCTGTACAAGATCAGTTACATTCCGCTGCTCTTGCTGAAATACCGACTTTCTTCGGCGGTCGCTGCAGACGTCAGTGAGCTCTATTTCGTGTGAGCAAGCGATTCAGCTCACAATTTTTGGCTTGCCCCTTTTTGCTGCACCAAGGTTCATGGACATGACGTTAGATAGAAGCACCTGATGTCTATAAGAGCATTACAGGCGACGAGAGAGAGGAGGAGAGTCAAGTAGAGGGAGGGGATCATGGTGATGCTGCTAAGGGGGGAACGGAACCAAATTCCTCATACCACGAGTTTTGATTCCGCTTCCAACTCTCCATTCCTCTTCCTCTCCCTCTCTTTCATCTTTTTTCAATCTTTTCTTCCCTCTACCTCTGCTTACAACAATGTCCATAAGAGCTTCCAAGGCTGGATTTGTCTTGGGACTAGTACTACGACAATCTAACCTGTGGCGAAGGACTCTCGTCACCAGTGCACCTGCGGTCCAGTCGGTATGGTCCGCCCTGGATGTGGAACTCTTGACCGACTCCACCCCAACTTCTACACCCCCTTCCTTTTCCTTCCTCGAAGTCGAGTCTGCTGACTATCGCGCAGCCGCCATATCTCTACCTCCTCGGCCCCTGACGCAACGTCCCATCCCTTGGCCCACCCTCTTCCCCCAGGCTCACCCTTCTACCCCTCCCACAAAACACATTCAGCCGATGAGATGCGACTCAATCGTCCGACATGTCGCTTCCGGTGACCTTGCAGCCGCTCGAGCAGTATACGATGATTTGCGTAGGCTTCAAATACCAACACATGCTCGTGCTGTGTATCTATCAGCTGCGACCGCTTGTCTTGATGCCAATCCTCCCGACAAAGACGGCTTCCTCTTCTGGCTCAATCTCATCCCAAATCGTCCGGCCACCAGATCTCACCCATCCCTCAAGACCACCTGGAAGCCCATCGTCGAACGTATCTCCGAGATTCTTGGACGTGATTTCCAATTTCTTTCACAATTCCTAATGCTCGCGGCTAAAAAGGGACTATTACCGGTAGTTCTCAGACCTTTCATGAATTACCTTGTCTTGAACCTTTCGCCTCAACAATCTGTTAACATCATGGGCAATGTAACTCAGACTTATATTATAAATACTTCGCCACAAGAGTCGGAGTCAGCTAGAGGACTGAAACATCGGACTGTCGCCGAAAAGCAAGTGAGTGGATGGTGGAATAGATACATGATCGCAATGGCCTCTGCTGGGTGGACGGACGCTGTCACTGAGCTACTGAATAACCCACCTTCTTCGGTACAGTGGTCTGAGCCCGCTCGTCAGCGGCTGGATCAGCTACTGTATCATCCACGTGATGCGGAAGACGAGAACACGGACGACCAGGCTCTGCCGGACGTGCCATGGCAGCCCCGGATACTGGCACAGCGGCTTCGGCATGCCCTCCACCATCCCCCATCTCCTACAACACTTGCCACCATTATTAGACATCTCGAATATATCTCTTCTTCTCATCCCACAATCCTTCATCGGTTCAAGTCACGTTTCTGCCGTCCACCCGGAGCTCTATTCATATCCTTATCATCACGACAAAACTTATGGCGTCACGCTCAACTTATCAGTATTCGAGCATCAGGATCCCACGAGACTGCTATCTCACACTTCTCTGCTCATTGGCAATGGTACGGTTTACCTCTATCATTTCGATCCATCGTACCGACGTCAACCTCCCTCAAAGCGTTTCCTTCCATCGACATCATCACTTCCATTCTACCTTCCCTTCTCTCCTGTACTCTCACTTCTGACCTTCGTAGCAGACATATGCAATATCTGCAACTGGCGCATGTGCTACCCCCCTCCTGGCGGCCCACATCAGCGACGCACTCCACCTTCATTAGAGAAATATGCCATCGCCTGGGGCCTGCGGAGGGAATCAGTGCTTTGCATGCGGTCATCGATGAGGGGTTCGACCCTGGATTGCAGAGCTACAATGTGTTGTTATGTTCCTTAGCCAGGCGAGGGAAGGATGATCAGATGATCCAACTTCTGGAGGCGATGCGATCCACGGATTTCGAAGAGGGCTCAATACATGGACTCGTCGGGCGACTGCCGTTCCCGAATGCCAGGACGTATGACGGCATTATCTATGTACTCGAGAAGAGAGGAGATATTGGCCTGGCTGGACAGATTAAGAGGCTTAAGAGAGAAGACATAGACAGATATAGACAGGACGAGATGGTTGTTGAGGCTCAACAATTGTAGGTCAAGAAAGTGAGTGGGTCTACCGTGTTGCAGCTCCGATTCTAGCTCACAGCTCTACCAGACGTATTTCATCGTTTTCCACAGGCACTCTCCCCGTCGTGTTGTAGTGATGTACCATTGGCATATTCTGCATCCCACTTGATATGCGTGGCACGCGGCGGCCCATGGATCTTGAACCATGATTCATCATGTATCTCCGTCGTTGACTGTACAGGTTGTATTTTGGGTGGGACTTCTGTCGAATCTGCTTTACAAGAATCGATCGTGACTCCGTCCAGGATCATCTGTGTCGTTCCATCGGTACGCCGCCTTCTGGCATACTCCAAGTGCGTGGGTGTGACCGGGCAAAACGCGTTCCTCTTGCCCCTTTCACAAGACTTAAAGGTTTGGTTTCTGCCTGGATGTGGTGCGGCTCCCTCGTCCGGACCCAAAGCGCCTTTGCGTGGAGTTCGAAGGGTAGAAGCATCTATGGACTGAATGGCCGTCCCACCCGTTGACCCGCTTTTCGGACCTTGACTGGGCGCTGAAGACCTGGTACCACTCAGGGGGATACTAGGAAGCGGGGCGCGTTCATGGTTCATGGTCGGAAAATTGAGGATACTAAGCGCCTCACTCGATGGTCTACTTCCATGGCTCAGTGTGGGCGAATCACGTCTGGGGCGAGTCCTGTGACTCCAGTGTCCTGTCTCGATACATTCCTCCGATATCAAGGACGGAGGGTAATCGATGGAAGTGACCGCGGATGGGGTTGGACTCATCACTTGGTTGGATCAGTGTCGAGTTGTCGTTTGGAAGTGGAGGATAGAAATTACTTTTAGGGTCGTAGGGGGAGTGTTGACCACTATTCGACCGACTGAGACGGGTTTTATCCCCTCTACTGGAACTAGGATTTGGGTCGTGTGGAGTGAGCGTTGAAAGGAGAGTTGGATATGACGTAGGTTCGTGCTCGCCTCTCGAACGTCATAATCGTGATCGGAGTTGGAAACGTTGTTGGGTTTGAGAAGACAGAGCTGATCATTCTAGACGTTTCAACGTGTGGTTATGGAGCGAGAATGCTGTGACAAGGCTGTGTCATGATCGATGAAGATGGAAAAGGTGATAGGTGTTGTATTGAAGACACAATTCTGATTGAGGAAACGTACTGTACGTATGAAGTTTGATCAGATTCTTACCATTCTAATCCTCTTCCAGTCAATTGACTCCTGCGTACTTCGAACTGATGTTCAATTCCACATGAATGAATGAAATTACGCTAATCAGCTGATGAACGACGTGACATTTCCTTCATTCGCTATGTGGGAAAATGTCGTTGTTGGATGTCTGCAAGTGATTCGAGCGAATTCCTGAATACAAGCTCCAGAAACATGTACAACAATACATACACTATCACATATCAATCTGCGTACATGACCTGTCAAACAAAGGAAAATGACCGGGGTGGCAGACATTAGGAAGTGAGATTGCGCAACGTGCCGAGAAGATACTCATCCCCTCGCCCATCCCCGATGCATAGTGTTTTGACATTTGGAGGTGATCGAATGTTGACCTTTAACACCATTGCATACTTCACAATGAATGAGACTGTCAATGAGGGGTATGGACTGAAGAATCTTCTAATCTCTCGACAATGACTGTACTGCCCTCTCCACCCTGTACTTTAATTGTCCCATCATTGTGAATTGTAACCTGTGTTGGCCCATTTGTCCTGATTATCGTTGAGGGTTTGCGCGAACTTGTCACACTTCTTGAGGTGCCTTGGGATCTGAGGTCCTGGCTGATTGAATGTACTTTGTGTGATGTGTTGTCACGCCTGCGGGTAGACTGCGGTTGCAAAGTACTGCCTTGGGTACTGAAGGGTTTTAGTCTCTGGCTCGTAGAGCTTGATGACTGCCTTAGGTACTGAGGGTACTGAGGCCTTCGGTTAGAACCAACTAGGTGACTTTCAAAGATGAAGTTCAACTTCAAGATGAAGATACATTGCTGAAGAAAGAGGGGGGAGATGTGCTCCTTTTATACCCTTCAAAACTAAAGTAGGTGTGCTAAATAAAAAGCGTGTGAGGGATTTTCTAGCCAATCACATAAATGCCTCAAAGTGAGTGCACCACGGGAAACTAATTCCAGCCAATCACATAAATGCCTCACTGCTAAACTGCTGAACCTTCCAGGCTTCAGCCAATCACGTAAATGCCTCACTGCTGAACTGCTAAATACCATGAACTCATATTTCCCTTCAATCCTTTATCACAGTTCCTTAGCATGAGTCATATTTTCCTTATCACTATTCTGAGCAATGAGTCAGATTTCTTTATCACTATTCATGAACAAGGAGCTTCCCCCCTCTAAGGGACGAAAGTCCTCTGAGCCCGGGTTGATCTACTATTGAGGATCTGATTGACGATTGATCTTGAGTTTTGGTCTTGATGGTTTTTGTCGATGAGCTTTGGGTTGGGAGGGAAGATTGGATCTGAGTGTGTCGACGAATGTTTTGTAGCTGTGTGAGTGACATTTTCCCAGGGTTCCCATGAATCATGGGCACGGAGTAGTCTTTCCAATTGACGAGGTAATCATAGCCGTTGTCTGCACCAATACAGAGTCGAGGATATGGTTGACAATATATTCTTCTTGACCATTGACTTCATGCGTGGTGGAGGGTCTTGAGGTTGTTGAGGATGTCCTTTACGCATGGGTTCAAGAAGGTTGACATGGAATACAGGGTGTATGTTCATTGAAGGTGGTAGTTCAATTTTGAACGCGAGTGGAGAGGATGTGGCTTCAATGATCTTGAAGGGACCTAGCATCCTTTGATCAAGTTTGAGCGAGGGTCGTAGTGTTTGAATGTTATGTCTGTTGAGGAAGACTTGATCACCAACTTTGAAAAGTGGTTGATCCTTGTTGTTGATGTCCTTGACTTTTTTGTTGAAGTGTTTTGTATAATTTTCTTGAGCTGACTTGATGTTGTTGGCAAGAGTTTGATGAAGATGATGTAGTGTCTGAAGGTGTTCTCCTGCTGCTGGAACAGAGAGAGTTGAAGGTGATGGTGAAGTGGGATCATTTGGATGGTATCCATAGTTTGCTTGGAAAGGAGTGCATTTTGTTGATGAGTGAACAGAGTTGTTGTAACTGTACTCTGCAAGATCCAGAAGAGATGACCAATTGGATTGATCATAGTCACAGAATGATCTGAGGTAATGTTCTAAGACTTGATTGACACGTTCTGTCTGACCATCTGATTGAGGGTGGAAGGCAGTAGAGAAGTTCGGGGTGATCCCTAAGCCTTTGACAAAAGAGCGCCAAACCTGAGAGTTGAAGATTGATCCGCGATCTGAAACAATATCCTTGGGTAGTCCATGAAGTCTCCAAATGTTTTGTCTGAACATGGTAGCTAGGTTGGGTGCATCAAAGCCATCTTCCTTGAACGGGATAAAGTGGGCTTGTTTAGTGAAGCGATCAACAAAGACCATGATAGAGTTGAAGTTATTTGATAGTGGGAGTTTGACAATAGCATCCATTGAAATAGATTGCCATGGTTGAGAGGGAATGGGTAATGGTTGAAGTGGTCCATAGGGGTTATGTCGAGGGACTTTGTTGCGTGCGCATGTATGACAACCATCCACATAGGTGTTGGTGAATTGTCGTATGCCTGGGAAGTAATAATGACGAGAGAGAAGTTGATATGTTTTGTGTTGACCATAGTGTCCAGAGGTAGGGGAATTATGTGTTTGTTGAAGTAAATTGATCTTGAGTTCATTGTTGTTTGGGACATAGATTTTGTTGTTGAAATGAACGATGTTGTCCTTTATTCTAAAATCCTTGAGTTTTCCTTGAAGTCCTTGGGGTACGGGAGTAGCGGGACATTGCAGGTAAGGCAAAAGCTCTTGGATGATGGGATCCTCAGGCTGAAGTTGCTTTATCCTAGCAATAATATCTGAGTGTGGGGGTGCGTTGGGAGTGTCTGGAGGTATGAGGGCACCAATGACAAATTGTCCTGGTTTAAGGAGTGTGTGTGGAGGTGCATCTGCAGCTCTACTCCCCCCTTGAAGGTCTGACCTCCTGGTCAGGGCATCTGGTTTACCCATCTTTGTTCCAGGTCGGTAGTGAATTTTGAAGTCGAAGTTTGCGAGGAGTTCTGCCCAACGAGCTTGTCGTCTGTTGAGCACCTTAGATGTTGTGAAATATTCCAGATTTTTGTGGTCTGTGTATACAGTGATTTCCTTAGTTCCTTCAAGATATGGTCGCCAATGTTTGAATGCTTCCACTATGGCAAGCATTTCTTTGTCGTAAATTTCATAGTTGAGTTCTGCAGGTTGAAGTTTTCGGGAATAGAAAGCAATGGGATTGAGTCGATTGTTGTCTGAATGGGAGAGCACACCTGCAATAGCAAAGTCAGATGCGTCTGTCTCCACAACAATGGGTTTATTTGGTTGGAAGTGTTGAAGTATAGGGGCAGTGGTGAATGATTTTTTCAGAGTGTCGAATGCGTTTTGTTGAGTTTCACCCCAATCAAACTTGACTTCTTTGCGAAGGAGTTGAGTGAGGGGTGCCGTGACCTTGGAGTATGCCTTGATGAAACGACGGTAGAAGTTGGCAAAGCCAAGGAAGACTTGAACATCATGAACTGATTTTGGTGGGGGCCAGTTTGTAACAGCTTCTACTTTATGAGGGTCCATTCTGATACCTCTGTCTGAGACAAGGTAGCCTAGGAAATCAACCTCATGTTTGAAGAAGGTACACTTTTCTGCTTTTGCCCACAGTTGATGTTGTTGGAGTCGATCCAAGACTTTCTTGACGTGGGTGATATGTTCTTCCTTTGATTTGCTGACGACGAGGATGTCATCGAGGTAGACAATGACAAAGATATCCAAAAAGTCTCTTAGAACATCATTGATGAGGTTCTGGAAAGAGGCGGGGGCATTTGTGAGACCGAAGGGCATCACAAGATATTCGTAGTGTCCATAACGGGTGCGGAATGCTGTTTTCCATTCATCGCCTTTGGCAATGCG